CGCCTTCCAGGTCTCCTAAAATCGGGAAACTTTGAGAGGGCATCGACGATATGATGAAAGATGTCGTGACAAAGCTTTAAATCAATCCGCGCAGCGACGGCGCGTGGGCGCGTACGAAAGTACGTTTTTGCAATTTGTATGCGTATTCAGCCACAATTTCGTACTTTTGGCACGGGAAATTTAATTAGCGGAGCGTGACCTTAATAATAAGTTGTTATGATACTTTAATTATAATTTCGTATCATACGAAAGTACTTTATTTCGAAAGTACGAAAGTACGAAAGTACAACAGAAGATAGATAGCTAGTGGATATCAGCGAGAGGATAGGAGCTTATTAGAGAGGATATTAAGAGGATGGCGTATGAGCAAATATTCAGAGCGTAGTACGTTTTAAGAGGATGAACTACTGATGAGCTCATCCTCTTAACTGCCGCGCCGCGCGAGGACAGTCAGAGAGGCGCGCGCCGCGGTTGAGGCCGGAGCGTCAAAGGAACATCGACTAGACAGCGTAATCGATCATTCCAGCGAGTTTTATACACCTGGGGCGCTGAATCAGGCTGTCCCGGCGCACAGAATCGTCGTTTGCAAAACAGACTCGGCGTTACGAAACATTTGCCGTCTCCTGAGCTCGCGTACGCGACGTCGAAACTTCATGGAAACAGTTCCGAACGTAAAAAAAACTTCGTGATTATATCGCGTGAACACATGCGCACATATTCAAAATTCGCGCGGCGCAAAAAGAAACGATCGCTTGCGTCGGCAGTTGAACTCCGCGGGTCGAGGCTGTAGCTGCGAAGAAAAGTGCTCTTTTACAAATCGACGCGATCGCGCCAGTCTATGCTTTGCTCATGCGATTCAGACACGGACGCGGTCGATCCGCGCGCCTCGAGGGTGATGTCATCTAACATGCCTTGCAGTTACAGAGCCAAAAACGGCGTCTGCGCGATGATAGCACACCGCGCGCTCATCCTTTTAATATCCTTTCTAAGCTCATATCCTTTCGCTGATAGCCACTACACTGTAGCTAGTAGTATAAACTGTAGTGTACAGCTGATCACTACTGTACACGTACACTACGTGTACTGTACACGAAGATAGATATTTCCGGAAATATTTCCGTACGTGTACAGCTGTACGTGTACACGTACAACGTTGTACACGTACAGTACATTGCGTTGTACGGACGGAGATATGGAAATACTTTCGAAAGTACGAAAGTAAGTTGTTATCATACAATAAAGTACACGTAGTAGTTGTATTCTACGAAGGTACGAAAGTATTTTCGTATCTATTTCCGGAAATATTCTATTTTCGTACGAAAGTACGAAAGTACGAAAGTACTTTCGTACAATAATGTTGTACGTGTACATGTACGTAGGGCTATTTATACCGTACATTTTTGTATCATAGACTCCACACAAACACACACACACCTTCGAGCATGCTCGTAAGAGAAAGGAGCTGTGCAGTTCTGAGGCACCCGCGTTTGTTATGAAATGCCATGAAAGCGTTTCCTCATCTAAATTATCGAAACAGCCACCAAATAAATCTTTACCTTTTGCGCCCGGAGGTGGATTCAACAGTGGCGATAGTGACGCCTTCGAGGCTACACAACAAGCTGGCTACAGTAGCTCTCTTAATTCTCATATGGTCACTCCGTCGATAACGTCTCTTGATGCTCCCTTCATTCCCAGGGCGTCCATCAGCGCCAACGCTGCCCCATTCATCCCTGGGTTTAACGCTAGTAGCGCTCCGGAAGGTCACCCCCAGCGAAACGCTGCACTTCCTATTAATGGCGACTTTTCACTTGGTCTCTCTGAACTGTCGGCAACGACGATTCAATCGGAAGATAGTTTGACTGATCGTCCCGAAACAAGTTCATACCCTGGTCCTTTCAATATGCATAATGGAGTCAACATTGCTTCTGTACAGAATAGAGTGAAAGACGTGCTGTCTTCAGGGACATCTGAACACGACCTGCTCTCGGCCAGCTTTCTTTCCAAGGAACTTCTAACTCCACCCCAACGACATGGGCGCGTTCAGCACGGCCACGCGGTGCCTAGTTTCCAGGGAGGGGGACAACTTCCAAGGGTAAAGATCAATTCTCTATCTTGTTTTTGTTTAGAAGATTCACTTATTTGTTTTTGCGGTCGAAGGTGATTAATGAATACCATTCACTGGTGCCCATAGGGCAAAAGGATGTGACGAATAACTCGATATCGTCAAGGTCACGATTAGGGATAGTGAAAGGCGTAAGCTTTGTAGATGGGAAGGAGTATGTCATTCGGCAGATTCAACATATCTACCCAAGTCCAGAGGTCAGTGCAAAGGCAAAGGAAGTGGTTAATAACTGGTCAAGTTTGGTGAACCATCCGAACATTGCAGCGATCCGTGCTAGTTTTGTAAGTGCAGATAACGGGGTGCCAGCGTTATATCTTTCATATGATTATCATGTGACCGCTGTCTCACTCAAGAGTTTGCACTGTTCTAACGAGGGTTGCAAAGCTGCCACTGAGCCACAACTATGGTCATATGCAACTCAGCTTTGTTCTGTTTTACGGAGTATTCACCGGTGCGGTTTATCAGCTGGAGGTGCTGTCTCTCTGAAACCAAGTAAAATTCTTCTCTGTTGTGATGGGCAGTCCAACCACGACAGCGGAGTGGTTGTCAGGCAACGCTTACGAATAGCAGCTGTTGGTCTTGTAGATGCCCTCTATCCAAATAAGAATAGAACTGCTGACACAAGCACGTCTCAACGTCGTCGAAGAGATGATCTAATTGCTGTCGGGCAGCTTCTTGCTGTGCTTGCATGCGGTCCCTCCCAGGTGACTTCCTCAGATGTAATTGCTCTTGCGCAAAAGTTCTGCTCTAAGGCACTTGGACAAGTTATTTCTGACCTTGCGTTCGGCCACATTTCTGACAGTAAGATGCTCAGCCAGCTACTGGCACCAGCAGCTTTCGATGCCTTACATGCTGAACGGATCATCAACGACCAATTTAGAGTGGAGTTTGTGAAAGAAGTTGAAAACGGACGACTTCTTCGCATTCTCACCAAGTTAGCATTTGTGAACGAGCGACCGTCCGGCAGATTGGATACCAATTGGGCTGAAACTGGAGACAGGTATATTTTAAAGCTTTTTCGTGATTATTTATTTCATCAAGATAATGAAGACGGTTCACCCATTCTAGACTGGGGTCACGTATTCGATTCCCTGAATAAAGTAGACATCGGTGTTCCAGAAAAAGTGATCCTCCTTTCACGCGATGAGTTGTCAATGCTAGTTGTCAGCTACGCAGATATTAAGGCTTGCATTGCAGGGGCATATGCCGACCTCATTAAAGCTTCTTAAAAACTTTAATACGAATCGATCTGTTGTCAAAAAAACATTCGTCAACATTCATCTTTGAACTGCATGAAGCAGAAGTAATGTAGAAGAACAGCCCGTTCCTGTGCTCAACTCTCCAATGGTTGCTCATCATTAAACTCCGAACTTCTTCGGCAGTGAATACGAATCCATGAACAGTCAATCGGTCATCCATTCTGAGAATTTAACTACAAATGCCCTTCTTAGCATATCGGTATTAGAAACTCCCCAATCGTTCGAGCGATCCACAACGTCTAGAATACGTTTTGGATATATCGCCAGATGGAGCATAGAGAGAACCCTTACTGCACTAGCAACCCTGCAAACCTGATCACGCGTGTGTGCATTTACGGATGTGGAGAAAACTTCACGTTCACATCCACCAGTATTATTTTGGGATTTTGAACACTCAGGGTCATGCGTAAAACATGCTGAATGTTTGAGTCCAACCCATATATAACCATTACAACCGATCAAAATTTCAATATCTGTTTTGAGGTCCTGGTTGAAGGTTCACCAAAACAAAATGCTATAGATATTCATATTGAAGCTGGAAAGGAAAGAAGCATATTCTGCTGGAAGACAGTAACGATCCCTACACTGCATACCCTGTGGAAATGCGTTTCAGCCCGCTTTACGAGCACGGGCACCACACTTATTAGCTGACCAAGAGACATGCAACCATACTTTGGACCGCGAGTATGGAGCATCACGGTACCATCACGGTGCACACTCTGCACTTCTGCACTAACAAGATCATCATCATCAAATCGCAGGGTGCACCGCAAGAACGCTCTTGCTCGTGTATAAGAGATATGTGGAATCCTGGTGCAAACCAACAGTAATCTTATTGCAAACAAATCCTTACCGTATAACTGGCGCATGTTGAGTTCGTCATCTGCATTGCGACGGCGTGGGATACCTCCCGGCAGATTGATGGCACTAAGATGTAAGGACGCATCTTGCCAAGAATTTATGTCAAGCTTCCAACACTTTCCCGCTCTCTCAATGACACGCCCTAGAACGACATCTCCTGTTTCCGGCTTGTAAGTGCACCGAAAAGGGCGTACAGATACAAGATTACCAACTCGCTCTATCGTTCCGCATATGGTCGCAGTAAATCGATCGCTGACCAATATTGTACCGTGCCCACGGAGCAAACCACCACGCGTTTGATGACCTACCCTAACATCTTCACCTGGTGCAACTAATTCTGCACTGCTTGGTTTGTCTGAGCGAAAAATACCGAACGAGACAGATGATAGATAGTGAGGGATATGGTATGTTCGCAGGGTTGAATTTGATTCGTCAAACAACCTTGCCAGACCACATGGCAGGCGCAGAACCTACTAGTTTACTAGATCGGCAACAATCAGTAATAAAAGCGTACCCGGAAAGTTGAACGAGCCACGCTGAAAACACCCTTTTTATACGGTCAACCACAAACATACCGCGGCGCATCTTATAGTTGAACACATTTAGCACGAGAGAAGTAAAGTAGTATCTTACCAATCGCGATATCATTCATTACAATGGATTGCTTGTGATCCATAGACTATTGAATGAAGTACTTGCCACACTGTTCCGGAAAACTTTTCCAGCAAGCCAGCTACTGCACGTGTACGTGTACAGTGCTACGAAAGTACGAAGGTACAAAGGTACTACTGTACTGGGTCAATTTTCGCGCGCGGGTGCTACGTAGCGCGTACCTTCGAAGGTACGAAAGTACTTTCGTACGAAAGTACCTTCGAAGGTACTTTCGTACTTTCGTACGAAGGTACGTGTACACTTTTGTACTTTCGTACCTTCGAAGATAGAATACCTTCGAAGGTACTTTTATTTCGGTACGTGTTTTTTTTGTCACGAGTACGTTTTTTGCTGTTTTTTTTCGAATTACGTGGAGCGACTATACCTTCAGGTACACGTGTACGTAGTCCTCTAAGTTGTTACTGTACGTAATTCGAAAAAAAACAGCAAAAAACGTACTCGTGACAAAAAAAACACGTACCGAAATAAAAGTACCTTCGAAGGTATTCTATCTTCGAAGGTACGAAAGTACAAAAGTGTACACGTACCTTCGTACGAAAGTACGAAAG